ATCGAGTTCAGGTGTGTAAATCAAGCAAGTAAAATTCTGAAATGTTTTCCAAGGACATTTCCTCTATTTGTCCACTTGGGGGCAACACCACTGCATTGTAGAATTAGGATATACTCTGCAAACATTCAATAATTTTTTTTCTCACAAGGCAAAACTCACAGATTTTCTAAGTATGCAACCACAATCAGTTTGTGATACAGGACCGTATTTTAAAGGCTCTAACAGGAGTCACGAGGAAGTCTAACGTGTTTCTGTTTCTGATCTCTGTTCTTTTCTCCTGTGTTTGCAGCCTGTCGATTGTCGTGCCATAAAAAGTGTGAAGTGAAGGTAAGACTGTCCACTGCCATTACGTTTGTTATCATGGACATGTGCTAATTCATCATACGGCACATACAGTATAACCTTTGATAACCAAGTCTACCGATGGATCACAGCGATCCAACCCTCGATGGTCAAAACTGCTGCAGTAACTGACATCTCACCTCGCCCCACTGTGTTTCCCACTCATGAGCTGTGGTCAGATGTAAACACCAAGGTCACTTAATTCTACAGAGATATGTCTGTCCAACGGGTGTGTTGTCTTCAACAGCTATAAAGGCTATTTTCAAGTCAAATTAAGAAGAAGCTGCAAAAACATTTAAATGACGATGATTGAGAAGATATATTTTTTAAAACTACATTCCAGATTTATATATAATTACTAAAAGTAAACAGCTAAGTTTTATTAGATATATTCAGATATTGGCATATATCAATTTTAACACAAAAGCAAAAAAAAAAAAAAAGTGATAGTTAAGGTTTGATTAAATCTGTTTTTAGTGTAAATACAGTCTTATCTTGCAGGATGCACTGACCCTTGGTGTCCAACGGACATATGGCTCTGTTTTCTTTAGCAATTATTTGAATTTTTTCCAGGTTAATGACTGTTCTATGTTGGCACAGTTGGAACATGGTCAGCACTAATGCTGAGTAATTTTTTTTTTTTTTTAATCCACTTGGCCAGGAATTGTTTTTCTCAACGTACTCATGAAGCTTCATGAATGTTCTAGGTTTTGGAAACTTTTGTTGACCTTTAGTCCCTGTACTATTATTTCTGCTCCTCCAAGAACCCCTCTGATCAATATATGCATACCATGATTTTTTAGACCTGGTTAAAATATCTCAGCCGTCTCTGCTTGTTCACTTGAAATTACTCATTTGAATTTTCCACTTTGTCACAGCGACACTCGCCACATTTTAATGCCAGTCAGCAGCAGAACGTGGAGAGTAAATGAAAAGGAAGGAAGGGAGGGAGAGGGTGGAAGGTAAAGGCGCAGTAAGACTGTTCTTAGTGGTTTTTAGTTTTGACTGGCTCACTAAAATTGCATTCAACCTTCCTTAATTCCTCCTTTTTTCCTCCCTCTTTTCCTCCTAAACAGCCATCAGTCTTCCCGAAGAAAAAAAAAAAATCTGCGTGTTCTCAAAACATTGTAGAAAAAACTGGCCAAATACCTCGAAAACCAAAACCAAACATTTTGTGGTGGCGTTAAGGACATGAGTCATCCGTGATCCTGGTGGTGATTGGAATTGTTCAGTAAATGTTTTGAAGCAGTACAGTAAGAGGTGTGTGTGTGTTTTTTAGACCCACAGCAGGTAATGTGTGTGACAAGGCCACAGAGAGCGTGAGACAGTGAACTTGCTGCTGCAAATTCTGCGAACCTCATTTCCCTCATTATCTGCTCCTCATGTACGTTGGCTCCCAACCATCCAGAGTCTTATGAATGAAAATAAACAGGGTTCTTTCAGGTCGTAAAAGTGCGGAACAGCGTGGTCTTAGTGCAAATAAAAGTGTGGATTCAGGCAGTTCAGCCTGTGCTGCTGCTGCTGCTGACTCTACGCTGACCCCCAGCTGTAAATTTGTCATCCAGCAACAATGAGGTTGTCGCCAATGGTCTGCAGTTCACCGCTGCACAGCACTGATTCTGCTTTTATGTGTTTGTCATTCCAAGCTGCCTCAACCCCCTCACAGCCCCCCGTACAGTAACCAGAACATTTAAAGGAACGGTCTGAATGTTTTGTCTGGGTTTTAATACTTTTTATCATCACAGGTTTTAATGACTGTATTGGAGCTAAGAGTTTGTAACAGACTGTGTGGTAGATGTACATTATTATCGTCAGGTCATCAGAAACATCACTTCTGCCATGTGTTTCAACATACCTGCACAAACGGACACCAAAACTTGTTCACACCAGTGAGTCCCAAAAGATTAGTTCTTGGCAGTTCTTCAACTATTAACTATGAATTCTAGAAGTCCATCCATCTTCATCTGCTTATCTGTTACGGGGTCGCGAGGGCAACCCAAATCCCACTGCACCATACCAACTCCCCCCTAAACCTTCCTGCGGGTGGTGAGTCCACTGGAAGGTACCAACCACCCTAACCAGGATTCGATCTTATCCAGGAAGTGAACCCTGGGGTTCCACACCAACGACAGAGACTCAGAGATTGGCTCTGGGCCAATCGGCCACAATTCTAGAAGTCTAAGTCTAAATACTGAAGCTTGTTGAAATACGTATATGCCTCCGATCCATTTCACGATCTGGTTATAAACTAGTACTCATAAGTACTAGATAGTACAGTATTATAGCAAAATATTACCAGTTTATAGCAAAGCAGAATTTTAAGGAGCATTACTTGGTGTTCCTTCATTGGAACAGTGTCATTGTAGTATCATTTCTTTTTAATTAAAGAACATGAGCTTGGTTTACACCCAGTTCACACACAACTGAGTTTACTGCTGCTTCTTTCCTTTAAGGTTTTGGAATGCAGATCGTGATGGATCCTGACCCATGTTTATTCATACTATCATCAGCGTGACTCTTGTCTTCGACTACATGTTTGCTTCAGACTGATTAATCAGTGAACTTACTTTAGGTCAAGCCACTGCTTGGATTTAGGGTTTGATTATTGGCAGCGCTGCAGCAGAAAATATGCAAACAGATCCACCCAATCACATACCATCAGTATCTAATGACGTGCAACTATGTCTGTGTTCTTGTGTTGAGTGAACGGCTCTACTTCACCCTTCCTTAAAAGAACAGAACTCATTTTTCCCCATGATTTATCCTTGTCGTGTCCTGGAGCAAACTCCTGGAATGCTGCTGCTGCTGCTGCTGCTGCTGCTGCTGTTGCTGTTGCTGTTGCTGTAGCAGCGGTTAGTGCAGTTAGGGTTGGAAGAAGAAGCCATCGTTTGGCAGAGAAAGTTGATCCAGAGGGGGATGATGGGAAGCAGTCGAACATGGCAAAGGAAAACAGTTTTGAAAATGTCTCATGTAAACAGTAGTCCTGGGGAGGATTGTGCTCTGGATGGACTTCCTCGATATGTTAATGCTGCAACTTCACCTCAGCCACAGAACCAATGCATGAACACCCACGCTTCTTCAACAGTGTTGTCTCGGTCAGTGTTTCCCAACCTTTTCTGAGCCACGGCACATCTATATCATCAGGAAAACCCCCAGGGCACACCACTGAACAAAACTCTGAGAAATGTAAATCAAATATAATAAACTAGTTTAATTGTACTAAAAATGCACTCCTGTTTAGTTGAAGACAACTCTGATATACTGGCAGGAATTGAAGAAAGACACTCACAAAGATCTTCTTTGTGTCTCTGATTATCTTTTTTTTATTTTAATAACCATCTACTGCCACCTAGCAGAAGTGGATGTAATCGTTCTGCCTGTCACACATTGATGCACTAAGACAGATTATTTGCAATAAATAGATAATAGTTTTCAGCCTAATTAGGTGAAATTGGGTTATTTTCCGCGGCACACCTAATGATCTCTCACAGCACAGAGGTTGGGAATCACTGGTCCAGCTGTTAATGCCTTGTTCTGTTCTAATCACACTTTTTTTTTATGGTAACTTTTTGTAACTGATTTCTTTCCTTTGAGTCTATTTATGCAAATTCCAGTCTCTGTTAAGTCTGATTTTTATGAACTCCAGCCTGGTTTAGCCTTAAAGGTTAAAGTGATTGCAGGGTGGAGGTTCTTCCATTTCTAAATGTGTGAGAACCTTAATTAGACATCGGGCATATCCCGTGTTTTATAAACATACAGCTGTAAAGTTAGATCATCACCAGTTTAATCCCTTACTGGTTTCCACACCAGGCTTTTGTGACCTTTTTTACATGAATTGCCGTTGAAGAGAGGATGTCTCCCTTTCTAAAATATTTTATCTTGAGAAAGGAGAACGTGCATGAAGCAAAACTTCAAAGCACAGTAAAACATGCGTAGAGGGAAGGCTGACGTGTTTTCAAGAATGTTGGCTCAGGAATGGAGAGCAACCATCCAGGCATGAAAGTGAGAAAGGTAGGACATGGATCGGGAGGGAAAGAAATGAGGTGTGCAAACTTTTTTTTTTTTGAGCCAAGCCTCCTCATTCCTCTGCAGACTCTGACAGAGGCCCGTCTGTTTCCCTAGCTAAAGCACATCCCTTCAAAGAGTCATGAAAGCAGGTCTTCACAGAGACACTCTTCAGTGATCTAGATGCAGCACAGATATGAACTGGCAGCTGAAACGTCTGGGTACAAACGTGTCCCCACTAGAGGTCAAGGGCTCGATGCATCCTGATATTCCAAAAATCAACCCAAGAGACTCCCGTATCATCGGCCTTGAAAACCTCTTAAAGGTTTTAAACACTTGTCTTAGAATGTTGTTCCAGCCATTGTTCCTCCATTGATCATGAGCAGCAGCCATCAAGTATTTGTATTAAGTATTTGTGTGTATTACTTTGATGTAGTGGGTGGTCAGGTTTCCAACCAACCAGTGTGTTTGAGGTTCAGCTCCAGCTGCCTCGGCTAATGTCGCTCTGTAGTTAGCATGTTTCTGTGAACATGATCATGACACTGAATCAATAGCTGATGACTGACGGACTGATTTACTGTATGAAATCAAACAATGAGTCCTGTTTTTGGTGCAATTTCCCAAGAGCTGTTAACACATGCATGGCATGGAGAGAGAGAGAGAGAGAGAGAGAGAGGAAGAGAGAGAGAGGAAGAGATAGAGGGAGAGAGAGCTCCAGAGAGATACAGTTACTGTCTGCCCTTGGATGGCTTCTGCTCTCTGGTTTTGGGTACCGCAATCATTGGAAAGCACAGAGCTGTTTTCCTGTAGACCTTATATAGCATGTTTGAAAACTTCTTGGCAGGAGGAACCACAGGCAGCAGTGTAAAGTCTGTGTCCCTGCTTGATGCAGTCCAGTCCAGTGGAGTCCAGTCCAGAGACGCAGCACACATTCTTATACATGAACAAGGAATTAAGTTCAGTAGCTTGTCTGGCACGCGTTTGGGATTATCGCTGTTGTTTGGAGTAAGAAAGGAGGAGTAGAGGGAGGAGGAAACTCACCCGAAGGAGGTGGAGGAGGATTGGGAATGCAGAGGTAGAAACAAGGCAGAGTTGTAAAGAAAAGCAAGTGTGTGTGAGGAGAGAGTGTTCACAGGTAAGAGCATATTTTCACACGGTTTGAGGTTTTTTGTTTGCATAGCATTGCATTTATACTAAATTTCACTTCTGCCTTGGAAATGTTAAGACAAAATGTATTTATTCTCATGCTTCAACTTGGCTGTTTCTGTGAGAGTGTTGGTTTTGGGGATATTTGGGATTCCAGTACAGCCCAGAAGGCTGTATTCTGCATGTTTTGGACATGGTCTCCCACACACTGATGAGAAAGCAGTTGCTCCCCTGGGAGTCTAGCTGTTGATGTGAGTTGCTGTTTGAGTCCTCGGAGTCTTTCTTCTGAGCTGTGATTTGTGGCGGCAACAACTGGTCAACACAGCAAACACGTGTTTCCTTTCAGAGCGTAACTTCTCTTCATCTGATCTGATGTTAGGAGAGGTAAAAATAAAACAGCAGGTCGCCAAGAGTCTGTTTTCCCTCCTTCACTTTTTCTCACATCCACACTGATAATGGCAGCCACTCACTCCTGACCACGAGCCAACACAAGGATGGAAGTCAAACATGGAGAGTCAGGGGGTCAGTGGCTTGTACGTCCCCTCTCCCACCACACAGCAGAATGGAATGCACTTTGATTGCCATAAAAATCAAGCACTTGTCTTTCACATGAAACATGACATGACTTTCAATGGGAAGCATCACAATTCCCACAGGACTTTTTTCCTATTGGAATGTGTCTGGTCGGAACAGTCATGATATAACTGGTCCATGAACAAGTTACTGTATACATCACTTGGTCATTGTCGTTTTAAACAACATTACCATTTTATTTGTTTTCAGTTCATATTCTTTGGAATTATGTTGGTATAATTTGAGGAGATTTGAGCTGTTTATACACCGTACAATGACGGTCGGACCAACCTCGCCAATCTGACCAGCGTGAGGCCTTCACTGCTCCCATTGTTGTTGTTGTGATGGAGGGATGTTTGCTTGCTTTATACGTCACGTTACATGAGTCTTCCAACCGTATCTTGCCAGGGAAGTGTGCCGTACTCAGGCACGGTACACTTGTACTCACACTGGCTGACACTAGGGGGCAAAGGTACGATTGTCTAGTGTGAGTTCACCCTTACTTTAAGAATTTGTTCATCCAAATCTCACTTTGAGCTCAATCTCTGGAACTCACTCCAAAACATCTTGGGGGACGATATTTTTGTTTGTTTTACAGTGTGGTGAAAGTCCGGTTGCTGTAAACTGTGATTTGCTCAGTAGGAGGCCTGTCAACTAGGGATAGGAATGAATAAGAATTAAACAATTCTTTTTCTAATTGTCATGTTATCAATAACATTTATAACCAAAAAAATCCAGACAATTTTAAACAAATTTGTGTGAAAGGGACTTTGTAACGATGGGTGAATGAGTCTGTGTCTGTGTGAAAGAAGGAACATTGTAACTGAATTTCATTAATATTATTCAAGAATTTCCTTCTTAGGTATTTCCCTGTTTTTGTTGTTAAATTTCTTCTGTCCTTATTTTATAGAAGTTTGCGTTCGACATTGATTTCTAAATCAGTTAATCTTTTAACCAAAAACATTTTTAGCTAATGCTATATTTGCTGAATATAAGGCCAACTTATATTGTAGTTGTTGATTTTTGGTTTACCTTTCAGGTCAATGAAGTCAAGTCTTTGTTGTGTATAGCACAAAGGTTGTCAAACTAAGGTACACGTACCACTGGTTCCCTCTAGTGGTATGCAGGGCTATCCGATTGATAGCAGAACTGGTTGAATTAACTATTTGTTAAAGGCGGCTGTTATTCATTCTTGATAGCAGTGTGTGGTTTCAGCAGTAAATCCAGTGCCAGTTGTAGTTCTCTCGTACAGTGTGGCTTTGGCTGATGATCAGGCTAATGATCTTATAAGGAACAAATTCACTTCTGCGTATCCTATGCTCATCTGAACAGTGTAGGACTGTGCAGCAGCATTTTATTGTTGGTCGTACTGGTGAAGGTTAAAGAGCCACTGATTTTCAGAGGTTCTACAAAGGGTACCAAGTCTACCACATGACGTAGAGTAAATGGACTAATTAGCTGAATGCTAACGTAGCTTGACTTAGCATTTCCTTCACTTGTATTTTACCTGACTCGTCAGCTCTGAACTATGTGCTGTAAAGTGTTGTTGAAGAACTAGTGAGTGGTATTTAGCATGAAACCACATCAGACCTAAGCCCTAAATAGTTGACGGGACTCTTCACATTCACTTATTTTGTTTTGTCGTTAAGTGACAAATCGATAGAGGGGGAAAGAAAAGTCCAGAATATCAACAAAACCGAAGCAATCGATCTGTGTTCTCAGATTTACACTTGTGAGAGAAGTGCGTACAGGAAGAACGTGAATCAATGCTGCTGCTGCAGCAGACGCAATTGCTGCAAATGAGGCTCCACAGATTCACTGTGTGTTTTTCAGAAAGGCCTGTGTTTTATTGAACTCCTCCGTGCGTGTTTACCACTGATTTTGATTTGGCGTTGTTGCTTTATTCTCACTTCACTGTGCAATTAGTGGTCAAATAATGCCAAGCATCCCATAGACAACCCGCTTATTAAACAGGAACTGATGGGTGAACGTCACCTGGAACAGGACCATCAGTCGGTTGATGCAGCTGCTAATGATAAAAACATTATTGTTTTGTTTTTCAGCTTTTTCAATTTTCACAAAAATGTGCCCCTGAATGCAATGGACAAAAGGCAGTTTTATTTTTTAAATGCTTTTTAAGATTATTAATAAATAGCATAATAATACGTTTTTAGTAGGAAAAAAGTCACAAAAAAATGTTATCTATTGAAATATTGAACACAAACCCAGTCAAAAAAAAAGTTCTATTCTATCTATCTATTGAAATATTGAACACAAACCCTGATTTTGTCTTTCATTTTAGTCTCTATCAGAAAATAAACTAAAGAAATTGTTTTCAGAACAATAAGAAGAATGTCTGAAAAAACACAGCATTTGAAAATGATTTTAAAAAGCTGCATTTTTTTTTCAGTGAAAAAATTGTCAGAATAGTATGGAAAACGTCAGAATGAAGTATGTCTTGACCAACTTGACCGTCAGTACTCCGACTTCAGCAAAACACAGAATTGTGACTGGACTACAGAAATTAAAAAGAAAGAATTTATGATAGGTTTACAAATAAATTCAGATTACCAACTTAAACATTTTAAAAAGTTAAAATTTTATACATATTTTTTACTTCAGAGCTTGAGTTTTGACAGATTTAGGTTCAGAACTCTCTCCACTTTTGCAGCTTTGGTTTGGGTCAAATTGTGGACTACTCTTTATATCAGATCTCTAATAAAATGACCTAACATCTGTGATATGCAGCCATAAAGCCTGTTGCATTTGGAGGTTTTCAACCTGTGTCCAATAGTGAGCCACAATGAACATCTGATATCCATCATATTTTTTCTTTATGGGCTGTTTTGTCGTTTGTTGCTCCCAGTGATTCGGTTCTAACCATACAGGAGCTGTTGCAGCCAAACCAGAGTCCACTTACCGCTCACTGTGGCTGCCTCCTCACTCATCTATGAGCTGTGGCCTGAGGCTCAGCCGTTTGACCAAATGTATTTGGGCCTTTAATGTGACATCGGCATGTTGGGTGACTGGCTCAGAAGGAGCAGGGTCAGAAATGAAGAGAACATCTGACTGTGACATCACAGTTCTCTTCATTTAGCTAAACTACGCTTTATCTAAATATGCACATCTGAAGAACAATCAAACATATCAGAAGAAAGTAAAGTTAAACCAGAGGTCTGTGTGATAATAAATCAAAGTCAGAAAGTTGCCCTACAAACAGCAAATATCTAAACAGAAATATAACAGATATTGATCGCTGTCAGCCCAGGTCTAACCAGACGATGGCCCAAACATTAGTTTACTGTACACGTTAGCTACAAGAGAGACTGAAATGGCTGCCAATGAGAAAAACAAGGTCAAAATTATCTTAATACTTTGCTAGCACAAAGAGCTTGAAATTAGCCTTACTGCTAAATCTACCACAAGATTGTTACAGAAAAAGCGAACCAATTGTTAACAAAATAGCTAAAATTTTCTACTCAAGGTTCAGAATCAACAAAAATAATTATTTATCTTTTTAATTTTTTCTAATTAGTAAAAATAGCTGAAAGTGTGCCAAAAAAGGAGGTTATTTTTTACATTGGATTTAAGAAAAAAAAGAAATGTAATGAGAAGAGAAAAGTAATGGAAGCTTTACAAACAAAAAAAGTCAGACAAACTTTAAAAAAATAACCCTGAGCATTTCCCGATAACAACTAAGAAATTAATAATGACTAATATTTTTTATAATTTATTTTTTTATATGAAAGAGATTCTGTGTGAAACAATCGTTTCCCCTGTTCAAGATTTGAATTCTTTACAAAGTAACCAGGAACTCGCTGCTGGGTTGATAACATGTTGTCGACAAATCCTCCAAAGATCTTCAAAGCCTTGTTTTTTGTTTTTTTTTTTTTGACCAGGCTGTGTTTTTGTTGTGTGTCTAAACAGTACAGGAGGGTTTGTATGTTGTGGGAAATGTCTGCCTGCGCTGAGATAGTGAGTGTGGATGGATGTCTGTGGAAACAGCTGGTGGGCAGTGTGTTCTACCCTGCAAAAACAACCACTTAGACGTTGTTTGTACACCATTCCTGTTTAAGTCATACAGCTTCTGGAAAAGCAGCAGAGGTTCACATTGACAATGTGCCAACTATTTAAGATAATAACCTTAAATATTCACAGAAATGAAGCTGATTATATCAATCTATAGACACATTCAATTCAATGGGAGGCCAGAAATAGAAAAGCATAGGAAATACAGTTGTAATACACCTGGCATCTGTACAAAATAATAATAAAGTATGGTATAAAAAAACATTCACAAAAACAAAGGCAAGTAATGGCTGTGGACAGTAGAAAAAACCCCTGATTAATTAAAATAGTCAGGGAATATTTAGGCAAATATTCAAATATGAGCAACATATAGCAGAAGTAGCTTCA